TATTTTTATTTTTATGTGTATGAGTGTATTGCCTGCATGTGTGTAATTGCACCTACGTTGTGCAATGTCCATGGAGGTCAGAAGAGGGCATCAAATTTCCTTGGAACTGGAGCTAAAGCTGGTTGTTAGCTGCCATGTTGGTGCTGGGAATTAAATCCAGGTCTCTGAAAGAGTAGCCAATGCTCTTATCTGCTGAGCCATCTCTCCAGCCCCATAAGCCATTTTATACAGGCAATACAAGTATCAAAACTATCTGTTTGAAAGGTTTGACAGGATTCAGAATTCTACCTGATAACTTCCCCATATCTTTTAAAGACCAAATACTATTAGGCTAACTATATATAAACATGACTAAACTGGTTTTGTAAATTTAAGTGGAAGCAAACAATAAAATAAGTCCAATGGTTTCTATTTTAAATTTAGTTACAAACATGTCTGTAATTTTTTTAAAAGGCATAATGGATCCTCAGTGGACACATAAAATCATGAATAATGCTGAATGCGTTTTTTCCTATACATACCTACTCATGATGAGGTTTAATTTATAAACTGGGCACAGTGAGGCATTAACAACAATAACTTCTAATAAAACAGACCATAATACATTGTAATCATAGTTATTTAAAACTTGTTTATTGCCTTCTATTTTGTTTCTTTCTTTTTTGTTTGTTTGTTTTGAGCCAGGATCTCACTATGTACCCCTGGCTGGTCTGGAACTCACAGAACTCTGCCTGCCTCTGTCTCCTGAGTATTGGGATTAAAGGTGTGCACCACCACACCTGGCAAAACTTGTTGATTTTTGGAAATTTCCATTCAGTATTTTTGGACCACGATTGCCCAGAAGTAACTGGAAGCACAAAAAGCAAAACCATGGGTAAGTGTACTGCAATGCACTGAAATTTTAACAAAGTATGGTGATTCACAGTATCTGAGTTATCCTAAATTCAAATTATCTTTAACAGCTTATGGAGGCAAGTAATTAATACCCTTACTGAAACATGTCACCCCTATCATTGCTTCTTTCTAATGTGACACAAGATTTTGATGTATATTTTGTAAGATCTCTGGAATAAAATTTTTCTTAACAATTTAGCTCTTCTATATCCACTAGTTTATCTTAATGGCTTTCCCAATTCTAAAGATATTTAATACTGAGTTATAATTTATGAAAAAACTTAATAGAGGACTATCACTCCTATTTTATTCAAAGTTCTTCTTGAAACAGGAAAGTGGCTGAATGGCAAATACCTTCAGAGTTATGTGCAGTTTTCTTGTGTTTTCGACAATAAACCCTGTGGAAGAAAATAAATACAAACGTATCAACTATGAAAACTACATTAAATTCATTTTTCACATTAAGAAAAGGAGCAGCACAGATGTTTTAAAAGTCTTATGAAATTTCCTAAATTTTTTCTTTAAACGTATCAGAAAGACTTTCTGGGGATGATGCAATGCTTTAAATAGGGAAACAACTTTTATGAAAGCCTGAAAAGCCAGGTGTGGTAGCTGGAGGACAGCTTGGTCTACTTAGCAAGCATCAAGCTAGTCAGGGCTGCATAGTGAGACCCTACCTCAAAATAAAAAAAAAATCCTAAAGAAAGTCTAAATGATTAAAAATCCTCAAGAGAAGTGAAATACTTACATGTAAATTCCTTGTGAAGGTTTCTCTCGGATTTGAGCTTTATCATGCAATGCGCAGTGGTAGTGGTATGTTCTGTGACAGGTTTTCACATCACAGCCAATTGTTGCTCCAGGACAATGGCACAGAGAACACATCTATGAAAAACAATGAAATAATATTAAAACACAATTCTGCTCTACTATGATGAAGACATTAGGGACATGCCAATTTCTGTGAGGAAAAACAAGCTGGTTATTGAAAAAAATATAATTCATATTACTTTTGTCTTTTTTTTCTCCTAGAAATAATTTGAATAGAATTACTCTGGTGGTATTTCTTTTCACTGACAAAATATATAGGAATGCTATAAATGTCTATGATTTCACTGTGGTCAAGAGAAAATATGAAATACTCTAAGTCATAGATCTGAGCTTTATAGAAATAACATTATTAGGGGTAACTAGGCAAAATATCTCCAATGAGAATTTTTTCTGCCATTAAACTTCCAGGTAATCTTTGGGAAAAATCTTCAAATATTGTTTGGGAACTTGGCAAAATTAACTGGAAGTGAGGCCAGTAGAGGGGATGAAAGAATTATGTAGTTCTTTCAGTACTGTGAGCTCTGAGAACATTTTGTGATGTCGTTGATTATACTGCAAAAATATGCCTGTCTACTTCAATTCAATCTGTTACTTAACTTTTGCATTATGAATTCAAGCAAGTGGATAAAAGAACAGATTCTTTCAATGTATTTTAATATACTTTACATTCTCAATTTATTAGATAATTCATAATGGTGCATTAGCTCATGCTCTGTATTGAAAAAACAATTCTTTTTAAAAAGTATATAATGCAATGGTTGTTAATGTTTTTGGTTCAGAAAACACAGTGTACTGTATTCAGTTGACTTTTACTATGCGATCTCCTAAGCTACAAATGCCACATCAAAAGGATTCACAGTAAGGTAAAAATCAAAAAAACCTTACTTTGTTTCCTGCTTGCTAGATACCTTGTTCTAAACTCTGTGATCTCAGCACTCAGGAGACTGAATAAAGCATGAGGATTATGAATTTGAGGATAACCTGGGCTAATTAGTGATACTGTCTCCAAAAACCAAAACCAAAATCAAACAACAAACCCAAAATCCACTTATGATCCTAATGTTTGGTTACTTGAACCCTACTTGATGTTGATGTACATTTCTCTAAGCAAATAAAACATTTAAACTCATTCACACTCTCAGTTTTAAAAATACTCCTGTGTAAGACAAAACCAAATGCTCTCAACAGAGGTACTTCCCAAAAAACATGAGGGCCATATCCATAATTAACACTTGAGAAAATACCCACTTCTTCAAATAAATAGACTTCAAAGTAATTACTGTAACAAGAAACAGCGTGCTAATGGAGATATAGCTTTATCATAGAGCACTTGCCTAGCATGCATGAGGTCCTAGGTTCACTCTCCAGCACCACCAAAACAAAAAAGAATTAGAAAACACCGTACCAAACAAATTAACATGGAAAGCTCTTTGATCGCTTATAGCTTAAGGTGGGACAGTAGTTGGACTGTAGCTTAGTTATAAAGTTGCATTATTTTGGTAAATTACATTTCTGATCAGAAAACACTAAACCTCTGGACACCACAAAGCTCAAAAAACATTTACAAATCACTCATATTCACCAAATAGAGACATCTCGCAATGTTGCAGTACCTACATGGAAATATTTTTTTTCTCTCTTTTTTTTGTGGTGCTGGGGACAGAACCCAGAAGGACCTTGCACACGCTTGACAAGTGCTCTACCACTAAGTTACATCACCCAGCCCTGAGAATGTATTTTTTTATGACTTGCACACATAATATTTTCCAACCTAACTTTTTACTTTAATAAATCAAACTTTACCCCCTTTCTTTCAGAATTCACCTCTATTAGATGTGGTGGAACACATCTAATAGAGGCAGAGGCAGGTGGATCTTTGAGTTCAAGCCTAGCCTGTTCTACACAGTGAGACACTGTCTCCAAAAAATAAACAAATTTCACCTGTAGTTTATATTGAAGTGTTATCTAAAATGGGTTTAAATAGGTAAATTTTGAAATAATAATTGTATTAAAATAGCAAGCAACTGTTAACAATACAGTTCTGAGCTCAAGAGCACAAAAATACAGTGAGCTGAGCCCCATCAGATGATATTGGAAACAGGAGCATACTCTGGAAAGCAACTTGCCTTGTTTATCAAAGAGCCTTTTCAAAGTTTCTATCCCCTGTTCTGGTAATTGTACTTCTAACAAATCTGCTCAAAACAGAATCAAGCAAGGAGGGTGCAGTGGCACATGCCTTTAATCCCAGCACTCGGGAAACAGAGGCAGGCTCATCTCTGAGTTCAAGGCCAGCCTAGCTGGTCTACATAGGGAGTTCAGGCCAGCCAGGGCTACACAGTGAGACCCTATCTCAAAAAAGAAAACAAAACAAACAACAAGGCATAAACAATTTATATCCAAGCACATGCACTGAAGAATTGTTTTGAATAGTTTCAATTATAAAGTAAGCCATGGGAAACAACAATTTAAAAATGTTTTAGCTGGATATGATGGCATATGCCAGCCTGGTCTACATAGTAAGTTCCAGGCCAGCTGGAGCTACAGGGAGTCCCTGTCTCAAAAAAAATGTTTAAATAAATTTTAGTATATCCATATGAAGGACTATTCTATTGCTACTCCTTCAAAGAAATTCTTCTTCCTTTTTTCAGAGTATCACGATGCAGCCCAAGTTGGACTCAAACTCGTGATCCTGCTGTCTCAATTTACTAAGTGCTGAGATGACAGGAATGTACTCCATACCTGGCTTCAAAGTCATTCTAATGACATAGGCAAAGGTTTCTCTATGTAAATGAAAAACTGGGACAAGACATGAAACTATGTGAATTTCTATCTCAATTTTTTTTAACATACATTTTTAAAAAAACAGGTAAAAGTCAGTAGAGCAAAATGCTGAGTGGATATTTCTGAGTGGTTTTCATAATTCTCTACATTTCCTGATTTTTCTACAGAATATGAAGTACTTTGGTATGCAAACTCTTATTTTTTTAAATGTATCAGGAATATTCTAGCAAATGCATTCAATACTTATCTCTTAGGAGAGAGTGAGAAGGAAACCAAAATATGCCACTTGTATTTTTTTGGTAGACTGTAAATTCAGATCTGCCCAAAGTAAGTGGTTTAAGCTCTTACGGTAAAGTAAACAATTTCATAAATAACCATTTGACTACAGCAACACGGGCCAGATCATGTTTTGAAAGTGATCAAAAGCTCAGCTTTACTTTTGTTGCCAGTTCCAATCAAGGAGAAAGAGGAAGACATACCAATGAAAATATTTTCAGAGTGGAAAATTCTTGTCAAGATCAGGAAGAAGACAGGACTTTTTTGAGGGTTTTTTTTGGGGGGGGGTTACTGCTGTTTACTTTGTGAGACAAGGTCTCACTATATAGCCCACTCTGGCCTCAAACTGCCAATCCTCCTGTGTCAGCTTCCCAAGTGCTAGGATTATAGGCCTGTACCTCTCTGCCTCTAAGGAATAGGAAATCTGTGAACTCATAATTCATAGAATGTGTTTTATGCAGCATTCATATATAAAGTCAAATTTTTCACAAGGTTAGTAAAAATTATCCATCCATAATATTATAATACAAAATTTACATTTGAATGCTTACCTATAAATGCAAAAGGGTGAGAAACAAATGTTATCTATAGTCTATTATACTGTCATGGTCTACTAAGCTACAGCCCAACCTCTGCAATAATTTTTTTCCCCTGAACTTCCATGGGACAAGATACATAATAGTCTTCATCGTGGTTCTTACAACTTGGCTGCTTTATTTGGATATTTTTATAAATGTATAGATCTTACCAGTCAGTCCCTTCTATATTTGTGATGCTGGGGCTAGAACCCAGGGTTTTGTGCATGCTCGACAAGAATTCTATCACTGAGCTATAACTGCAGCTAAATTAATTTTAAGAGTAATAGTGCTGGGCGTGGTAGTGCACGCCTTTAATCCCAGCACTCGGGAGGCAGAGGCAGGTGGATCTCTGTGAGTTCAAGGCCAGCCTGGTCTACATAGTGAGTTCCAGGACAGCTGGGGCTACAGGGAGACCCTGTCTCAAAAAGACCAAAAAAAAACAAAAAAAAAAAAAAAAAAACGAAGAGTAATACTGTGGCTAACTAGGTAGTGCTCAATAAATCTGTTGATTCTAGGTTTATTTATTGAAGAATAGAACATCTTCCATCACATTTTCTTCCTCATTCATGTTTTTAAAAACTGCAGATTTGGGCCAGCAAGGTAGATGGCTCAGTGGGTAAAGCTGCTTGCTGTGCAAGTCTGGTGACCTGAGTTCAAACCCTGGAACCTATGTAATGGTGGAAGGAAAGAACTGCGAGAGCTGTGGCACACATACCCAAACACATCATGTGCACACATACAGACGAAAATAAGCTTAAAATTTTTAGATTTTACATAATTATCTTCAGGTACTTCTAAAAGTAATTATGAGCTAGGTTTGGTGAAATATTAGGTTTGGTGAAATATGCCTTTAATCTCAGAGTTCTGGAGGCTGAGACAAGAGAATGGCAAGTTTGAGGACAATTGGGAGTTCAGGGTCAGCCTAGGCTACATCCGTAAATTGATTACCCCCAAACAGACAACACAGTTTCTACCACCTCTGGCTCTTACAGTCTTTTTGCACCCTCTTCCTCAATGATCCCTAAGCCTTGGGAGGAGATGGTGTGATATACGTGACCCATTTAGGGCTGACCATTCTGCAGTCTCTTATTCTCTGCTCATCGACCATTTGTGGGTCTCTATGTTAATCACCATCTGCTGCAAGAAGAACCTTCTCTGATGAAAGTTGAGAAATGCACTCATATATGGGTATAACAAGGTGTCATTATGAGTCAGTTTAATGTAGGGTCTATTTATGGAATGGCAGTAGGTTCTCCCCTATGCTCTGTGATCTGTCTAGCCACAGGTTCTTGGCTCTGATAACACTGTTAGGCATACAGTCCATCTTGTGAAGCAGGCTTTAAAATCTAGAAGGGTGTTTGGTCACTCATAATATTCATGCCGCATTTCCACCAGCGGGCACATCTTGTACATATGAAC